GCAAAAATGGTTGGCCTTCCTTGATTCCACTTTCGTGCTTGACTCCTCCCTCCTCCACCGGTTGCACCCTCCTACACGTTAGCCTGCGTGCCACAACCGCAAACAATCAGCAGCCCCCACCCCTCGTCCTCCACCACTGCCGATGACACTGCAACCTCCTCCTCCTCCAGTGCACCCGAGTGACACGGAAAGGCGCCCTGACAAAAACGCACCGAGATGATCCTGGACTCACTGAAACACCTTCCATCCTTCAGCCATGTACCCCATTAACCCATCCATGATGCTGTTTGAAGGTCTCTTAGCTAAGGCTAGCTAGCAGGGGATGAGGTCAGGAGTCGAAGGTGACCCACTCGATTTGATACAGCCAACTGCCTCGCTGCCCAGCTTGCCTTACGTCACCGAGTCCCACCGCTCTCAGGGGGTCAGTATCAGATCCGTAACAAACAGGCCTGTGTTTAGTGGCATTCTACGCCAAGTACTGCTCACTCACACATAAGTGAAACCTGTATATAATGCATATGTTAATGCATGAACATCACTTTTGTAGCACACGTGTATCATTTTAAAATGCTTCTCCTGGCGCTCCAGAATCACAGTCTTTGCCAGTGCCATCTTTGAATTGCAGATGAAACAAATAGACAACCCTGATTGTAATGTGCAATCAAAGACTGCTGACCGCAAACAACTTCCTGATGTAGGTCATGCGCCATCGTCAGGTTAAAGGTGACCTGTTTTTTTTTAAATTAATCTGTTTTTTTGCATACTTTTTCGCGAAAGTGAAACTGATAGGATCTTGAGTGTACAGTGTACACAAACACAAAAATATATAATATTAATAACACGCACAGAGACACACAAATCTTTTTCATTTCCCCCTTCACCAGGGGTAGGGAACTCCAGTTCCTCAAGAGCCATATCTGTCTGTCTGTCTTAGATCCCGCCTGCCTCCAACACACTTGATTCAATTGTTCATGATCATTTCAGGCCTCTACAGAGCTTGCTGATGAGCTGATCCTTTAAATCAGGTGTGTTGGAGTCGGGAGCGATCTAAAACAGATAGGATATAGCTTTTGAGGAACCAGAGTTCCCTACCCCTGCCCTACATCCCTCGCAATCGACTTGGGACCAATCCGCGGGCTACAGGTCGATCACGACCGACTGGTTGGGCACTCCTGATGTAGACCATGACAAGACATGCACAAAAAGCAAACAGAAACAATGTACTGGACATATAAAGTTAATAACAAACGGACAGAAAAATGCAGGTCAGTGCAAGCTGCAACAAAACCAAAAATTGAAAGAAAAAAACTCACTTTCATCGAGCACTCAATCGCCGGCAAGCTAATTTAGAACAAAACAAACAACACAAACATGAAAGCCTCTTAGGAATGGATAAAAAAACTTAAGAGCCAAATGATACATGAAGAATAGGCGCACGTCTGGTTCCCCGTTTGGAACTATTTAGCTTCAAAGATAAATGGTTGGGCTGGGGGTGTGGGGAGCGGGTGAAGGAGGCATGGGGTGAGGAGGGCTGTGAGTTTATTGGTGGTGGGGTGGGTTAGAGGTTATGGGAGGATTGTAGTGCTCTGCATGTGAGAGTTTGGTCCCAAGCAACCCGATCCGATCTTTGCCTCTTGTCAGTCTTGTCACATCTCACTGAGAAATCGTCTCAAGCCTCTCGGTGGCACTGACAAGTGTGAGTGTCTATGTCTGTGTTGTTTTTTTATGGAGAGAAGGTGGATCATAGATTGATTTTAGATCACAGATCAAAATTCTGCTCAAAAATAACATTTAAAATAAAGGAAATTAGGCTTGCATAATATCACTGATGAATCAGCCATTTCTTCTCGATGTAGTCATGTTTTCTTCTCTAGCACAGGTGATATGATAGCTTACAAATTAACATAATAAAACATAAATAACACAATATGACCACGATGTTTTTCTCCTGCAAATGCTTCATGTTGCTTACACACACTAGCGATCGACAGATCCATTTGTTGCAGCGACGATACCGATTATTTGGCAAAAGTGGCCGGCCAATGTTTTTGAGAGCTGATATTTGTTTGCGTTAAAAGGGAAAATATTGGTGTCAAAATTTAGAGCTATACAAACATAAACTCTTGATATTTTTTGTTTCATTTTGTGTTTTATGTTGTGTAGTGTATGTGTAAGTTTTTGTTCAATGTATGCAGCAGCACAGAGGGCCTGTCCTCCGAGACAAGTTTCTCCTACGGTAGACCAAATAAAAGTCAAATTCAAATTCAATTGACTTTATTTTAAATGACTTCAAGGACGTGCATAGATCAGATAGAATTTCATTTATTTATTTTTTAATTGTAACAAAAAGTGCAGCGCTTACAAGCTCAGGAGCGTAGCTAAATGAAAACGTTAACAACTGAGAAGCTCCCTTGAGTCTTCTGCAATAAATTACATTTTTACAAAAATTCTACATGAGTTAAATTTTAAAGTCTCACTTTTCAATGATTATTATTATCTTTGCTTAAAGTTCAAATCCAACAATTTGAATCCTTCACTCGTGGCCCCCGGTCACATGTGTGGTACCAGTGAGAACTTAACCATTGCATTAAAAACATAATAATAAAAAATCCAATATACGCCAAAATGCCGAATATCAGTTTCAATAATTGGCTCGGGTGATGGTCTATCATTAATGTGTACAACTTGCTTCCAACAAAACCACCACCACCACCACATCATTGCTGTAACAAAACACTACACTAATATTTATTTTCATTTCTTCCCAATACTTCAAGACTTGATGCCTGAAGGACGCAAGAGGCTGAACTCGTTCGTCTGACACTCTTCTGTCGAACATAAGACTGACTGATCATGACCAAGTCGCTGATCATGGTGCAATAATATAGACGAGATGCAAATTAAATGACATCAATATGTTGAAATAAAGTTACTAGGTGATTTAATCAAGGTGCAAAATATGTTTTACTCTTGGCAGAGCAGTTTTGATTTCATTTCAGGAGCAACTTTTCTTTTTTGTTCTTTTTATAGCAGGTTAATCCCAGTAAACTGAAGCAAGGTTTTATATTCAACAATTAAAAAAAAAAAAAGACAATATAATGAATGCACAATTGTTTTTCTTTCTTTTTGTTAATCGAATGGACAGGTTTTATGACTTAAATTGGCATTGCATACAGAGGTAAACTTAATTTTCTTGTTGAGAAGCAAAGCTAAATTGATGTTAAAATTTTTCCAGTATTTATTTGTGCTCTAAAGAGCTCACAAAAAAAAAGCCTTTAGTATTTTCAAATGATCTTTTAATAATTTCAGATTTTGTGAAACAACACCAAATCACTTCAAAACAAAATTAAAGACATTTACATGTGCAAAAAAAAAAACTGGGGGGTCTGCATCCAGATAACGTTTGAAGAGTTAAGATCGGCAGTGAGAAAAACAAAATACAGTACCTCTGCTTTGAACAGCTGATTTGGTTTCTTCTGTCAGAAAAGATCTGCCCTGTTATGTCAAAGATTCTTTCAGGAGGGAATGACATTGCGACAATGCGCAGTCTCTGTTCAGCATCAAGCGGCAACACTTGCATTAGAGACACTGACGCCTCATTAATACAGAATATGTTTTCCTTTTTTTGTTTTTCCCTTGAGGATTCTACATTCTGTCTTGGTATTGTCACTAAAGATTATAGTGTATGTGTCCAGATATAACTCCTTTTCCTGCTGTCCCTCATATTCTTCACTATTGCTTCCTGGCATTGTCTCTCATCTGTGCGCTCTTATTGTCCACTTTGCTTCTGTGAGGTCAGTAACTAATTGTTAAGTCGTCTCTGACAATTAGTAATTGACAATCGTGCGTTTTTTTTCCCAAGTCAACCTGACAACGGCTCCCAATACATGTCACTAATTTTTGTTGTTGTTGTTGTTTTGTCATTCTATGTGGTTTAATGAGGCAAACTGCTATGTGAAACTACTTATTTTGAGCCATTCCGTATCATATCAGAGGTATAATATTTCTTCTTGTTAAATTGTATTGTGTTCAAATTAGGCGCCACAGTTGCTGACCGCTTAGCACATCCACCTCACGGATCAAAGGTCTTTTTTTCAAACTCAGCCTCTGGCCTTCCAGTGTGGACTTTATGTGTTCTCACTGTCTCTGTGTGGGTTTTCTCTCCTGGTAATCTGGTTTGCTACCACATTCTATAAACATGCACGGTAGGTGAATAGCACCGTGGAAATTGTCCGTAAGTGTCAATGACTGTTTATTTGTGCCCTGCAATTGGTTGGCAACCAGTTCCAGGAGTTCCCCGCCACTCGCCCAAAGTCAGCTAGCATAGGCTCCAGCACACCTGCAATCTTAGTGAAGATGAGTGATACAGAGAATCTCTGGATGGATGTGCTTAGATCTGTTTAATCATGAAAATTTGAGAAGGTACAAGTAATAAAATGTCTAAATATTTTTAGTTCACTTTGATGTCTGCAATGAAAATGTGAATATAATTTATAACAAAGTGCAGTTAAATAATAGACACATTTTGCGAGAAAACTGCAAATCCCTCTTAAATGGAAGTGAATGCAGTAAAGTGTTAAGAATAATAACTTGAGTAATGGATTTGAATTATTGGAATGCTTCTGGGATCCAAAACTTATACACCGAACTATTTAAATTGTCATTTGTGGTCAGTTGTTTATTTGAAGTGCTATTTCGTCACCTTTGCAAGGTCAAACTGATGGGTAGCAGTTCATGTCTCACTCGAATTCTTTAAGTATATAAAAAAAAAAAGTGGGATACATGGTGTTTGTGTGTCCTTAATTGAATTCTTAATCCAATACGACAACTCCGATAGAATTTCAATTAAGAGTTAAAGTCAATGAATGTTGCAAAAGTACAAAAAGAGAAAAAAAACAAATTATGTGAGCCTGTCTCAGGGATCTACACACTTTCATTTCAGTTTCCCATTAGTAAACTTGCATCACTACAGTGAAGTTGAATTTATGAAATGTTCTTACCTCAGGCTCAGCCATTATCTTCAGCCAATTCAGTCAGAAGTTCCCAAGAGTACCCACCGAGTTGGCCATTCCCTTTTGAGTCCCACAAAACAACTGCTCCCAACTCTCCTGTTCGCAAAAGTACTCATGCAAAAGTGCCATCACACCGAGCGGTTTCTCCCTCAACAATAAGCACACATACTCGCACTCTCTCTCTCTCTCTCTCTCTCTCTCTCTCTCTCTCTCACACACACACACACACACACACACACACACACACACATGCATTCATGCGCGCACACCGAGAGTACACACAAGCCTACCGCCTTAGAGACACAGGGCAGTCCCCTCACAGCTGGCTGGAAGAGGGCATGACACTCATCTTTCAGAGATGTGATCAAAAGGAACCACAAATGCTTGAGGCTCTTCTAATTCAGTCAGGAGAGACTCGTACTCTCCCCCACCCCTCCCTCTCTTTCTCTGAGTAATGCCCTAAATCAACGGCGCTCCTCTCCGTGCACATAGCCAAGTGGATTCACCTTAACACAGCCTTGCGAACAGCCACCATAACAAGTCATGCCTTGTGCCGTCAGGAATGTGTCAATGTCTGTTCTGGATGGTTCTTGGGAAAGTGAAGGGACATGAGCCAGAACCAGTGAGCCTTAACATTTACTCTACCACAGTTTGAATTTAATTTGATTACGAAAGACTGTAATGCGCACAAAATATTTTGGCACTGGGAAATAATGATGAAATATAATGTTTGACATCACTCTCAAAACAAAACCCATTTTTAAAATAAGGACTTTCTGAAATGTTTTACAGGGATCAATTTATGTATAATCATTATCACTCATTTCTTTGTGAGAAGAGGAAAATCCTGACATACTGCATTTAAAGTATAATAAGATAATAAGGAAAGGTAGTTTATGAGTTGTGTAAATATCAATGCATGTTTTAAAAGTAATAAATAAAAATACACAATTTGTGATAATGTTGTGTTGTGAAAGCCTCAGGTCAGGTAAAAGTCATGGTTTTGGGATTGGAATAGGCAGTTTGCAAAGGCCAAGGCTTCCAGCATACCGAAGGAAAGTAGGGCCGCATCTGGCCTGTCAACAGTCTCTGACCACAGCTTTTGCAGCCTTTATGAAGGGAAAATGAACTATGCGCTGCTTGTATTTTGCAGTTCACAGATGTCAGCAGTGGAAGCGAGCAAGTGCAACAACTTGCCTCCGCTACTTAGAGAGATTTTTGCTGTAGACAGTGACTTCTTCAAGTATTCTAGCAACTATTTTATTCACCCTCCCCCAACAAATAATTAATTTGAACGCCAACATTCGTCCTCATGTTAGCAACATTATTATTTCCCACACGGTGGCCGGAAGGGAGGAATATACCCTGGTAATGATTTGTGAGTCCTAAGAACACCTAATTGAGGTTTGTGCTCATGTCAGCACACTTTAAAAACATGTTTCTAGACATGGTTTTTTTTTTGGGGTGGGGGATGTTGATTAAATGTATGTATATGTGAATATGATCTTGTTGTCTGGTTGAGAGGGAGGAAATTTCATCTGTGCTGTATGTTGCACGTACAGTGCATTTGACACTAAAGTTGTACTTGACTTGATATATCTATCCATCTAGAGAAAGAGAGAGAGAGAGAGAGAGAGAGAGAGAGAGAGAGAGCGAGAGATACACATACATACAAATATAGAACATTCATACATAATGTTCCATTATGTATGGTTTTGGAATGTGGGAGGAAACCGGTATACCCAGAGGAAACCCACACAGGCACAGGGAGGACTCCTGCAAACTCCACACAAGAAGGCCAGAGCCCGGAATCGAAACCTCGACATCTGAACCTTGAGGCGGATATGCTTACCAGCTTTCCACCGTGCCGCCCTGTGTGTGTGTGTGTGTGTGTGTGTGTGTGTGTGTGCCTGTGTGTGGGTGTGTGTGGGTGTGTGTGGATAGATAGATTTTCATATTTACTGCACTTGAGGAAACTGTTTCGGTTTCTCACATGAACCCTTAGAGAAACTAATTGTCCACCCATGACTACTGCCACATACGAGGAAAGTGGGAAGTCAGATTTTTCTGACCTCAGCCAAGAAAAGTGCACTAGAACAGCCATTTGGAGTGGGAGATCAGAGTTGCAAAATCGGGACGGGGGGGAAAAAGCACCCCGACTTCACAGAATGGCTTCGATCTGACGTCATTCGACACTGGGGACCCCCATGGAGACACAGACCGTGATTGTCAAAACAAAATTTACGAGATTGTAAACATATATTTTTCTTTATTACATGGATGTAGTTATTCAAAATAATGATTTGTAATGCCTGTGTTATTTTGTAAATTTTTAAATGCACTGAAGATATTCCTTATTTAAATAATTTATTTTTATGTTATGAAATTATAAAGGTTTGCTGGAGGTCAAAATGTGTTGTGATGAACTAGAGCAGGTGTGTCAAACATACGCCCCGCGGGCCGGAACCTGCCCGCAAGGAGGTTTGATCAGGCCCGCAGGATAATTTAAAAGTGAAAAAAATGCATAAAAGACACGGAATGAATATTTTTAATAAGGTGCAATTCATGGAATTTTTGCTAGGGGGACACACTGTTTTGATCAGAGAAGAAGACAACAGCAGCCTCAGTCTGTCACTGAGACAGACCCAACACAGCAGAAGCTATCGAGGACATGTGAATGCTTTATTCTTTACACATATAGCACTCTCCTTCGTTTGTAAGGTGTAGGCAGGGATTACATTTAGATTTTATATGCTCGTGTAAATGGTTTAAAAATTCCTTTATAAATCTCGTTTAATCTTAACAGTACATTACTATATTTTTCAATACCAATTACTTGTTAAGGTTTTGTGCCTTTGTACAGTCAGTGGGATCAATTGCAATATATATATGTGAATGATAAGTCAATTGCACATTTGTCTAAGGAAATCTTAGGTGCTTCATGAAATGTTTTGTAAAAGATATGTTCATTAAATTCCAACATTTTCCTCGTGTTCTTGTGCTTCTTTCGACCAAAACAACGGAAAGACATTATTTTGGTTATTTATAGCAGAGTATTGTATAATTTTTAATGGTCCGGCCCACTTGACATGTACCGAGGCCTTATGTGGCCCACAATGTGAAATGAGTTTGACACCCATGAACTAGAGCAACAAATAATTTATTGGATTCAGCCATCTTTGTTGTTTACCTTCGTCCTGAGAGCTTTGAGGCTGGAACTAGGGCAATCCGAGTGGGATACATCCAACTTTCCACCTTTATCCAAAGCAGCAATAAAGTATGGGATCGCGCAGTCAGCTGATTTAGTGCAGTTGTCTCAGGCAAGTGCTCTGGTGACCAATTTTTTTTTGCGTCACGGACCAGTTTCTCATGTACATATTTTGACAACAGTCATATAGCCGCTGCACAGTGAGAGCACACAAAGTTTAACACACTCAGACCTTGTTTCCACGTAGTTGGGCTTTTTTCGAAACCACATATTTCCCCCTTGAAGAAAAAAAAATCCACCTACCCTGCCTTGTTTAAAAAAAAAATAAAAAATACCTTCCACACACCAAACCACAACAATGTGTTTTGTCTGGGGTACAACCATTTTCTGTTGTGGAGCGTGGTGGAGCACCCAAAAAGCAGGCACGAAGGAGGAGCACAGTGAACTTGACAAACTGCATTAACAAAACACTGAGAAAGCCAAATCCAAAACAAGCAAAGTCCGACAAACAACAAGTATTCAAAGTAACAACAAAACTCATGGCATAAGCAAAAATTATAACGTGATAAACACAAACCAACAGAAGCAGTGACAGCAACAATGACCCGACACCGAATGGTCAGGCCGGGAGTCCTTTTAACAGAAAACCTACGAATGACATGATGACCAACAGGTGTGCCGCTGTAGGAGGAGCCCTAAAGAGCCACCTGTTGCTCCCAAACAAGTCAACCGTGACATTTTCTTCTTGAAAGAAAGGAATGAATCAAGTCTATGCCCCTCAAAAACTAACAAACAAACAAACAAAAGCAAAATGCTTGGTCACAAATGCACAATGACAGATTTGAACTGGAGTGCAATTTTCAATTTTCAGTATGCATGCGCACTGGCACTACATGTGCACCGCTCCATATACCTCCTTTTCTGTCTTCTCACTCATTTGTTCCCATTTTTTGGGGGCTTATGTCCCCCTCTTAACTTTTTTTGTCATACCATAACTATTCCCTCACACATCCGTATTCTCCCAAAGGAGAACACAACTCATTATTCTGTGAAAATAATTGTATTTCATTTCATTTATTTTGATCTTTCAATCTTAGGCATGCCCTGAGATTGGCTGGCAACCGGTTCAGGGTGTCCCTCGCCTACTGCCCGAAGGCGGCTGGGATAGGCTCCAGCACCCTCCGCGACCCTTGTGAGGATAAATGGATGGATGGATGGAAATCTTAGGCGATGGCTTCTTTTTATTTCAAACGAAACATAAAATGTGATAATATTTTGCCTTGAAAATAAAACACGCTTAAAGTAAAAAACCGAGCTAACTCATAACATTTACTGTCAAAAATTGGAACTCCTTTGAATAATTCCCCCAAAACAGGCATTTAAAGTTGAAATGCTTGGAGCGAAACATTGAACAAAAATAATATTCTGACCTTTTCATCAGTCCTTTGAGCTTTAATGAGACAATTTGAGTTGACACGCACATGGCTGATTTGATTTTAGCATGGCTGTGCCACAGGTTATTGATCTGGGAGATGAATTATTAAACGTTTCCACGTACCTTAACAAATTAATTAATGCCACTAACAACACTTGGATTACTTTCCATGTGAGATCAAAGCTATTTTCATTCAAGAAAATTCCCCATATGGTCATATAGGAGAATTCTCGTCAAAGCATGTAACACAAGGTTGGAAAGCCCTCAAGTCTCTCATGGTTGTCCAGCCAAGCAGATCTGCTAACTAGCGTTGAATTTATTTCATACCTAAGGGATGCATACCAAACACAGCCCCAGACCTGGCCGGGATTAGGTCTGCATTGCTTGTCAGATTGCTGCTCTCTTGGTTGTAGAGCCACAGACGTATTAGTGCCCCAGGGGCAAAGCATGGGAGTGCGGCTAAAACCATGGCAAATAAACTCCATGTGCAGAAGAGCCGGTCACGCTGCCGACTTACATGTCTGTCATTCACCTTCCAGCAGGGAAGAGAGAATGATGCTTGAG